AAGGATAAACTGATGATTTTTAGTGGATGAGTAATGAAGTATCACTGCTCTGTATGAATGGGTGTGAATGGGTGAATGACATGTAGTATGTAAAGCGCTTTGAGGGGTCTTAAAGACTGGATAAAGCGCTATATAAGTACAGTCCATTTACCATTTACAAGCACACTTTTATTTCCATGCAACTCTCTGATTGGTCTGGTGTCTTGCCTCTGTTGCATTCACTGAACACGGGATATTACAGTTCTGCCGTCCTCTCTAGTGTCATGACCAGATTCACGTAAAGCACGGTTAATGTATTATACAGTATTATTGAGGTAGAATTGTCCGGGGCTACAGACAAAAACATTCGGGGCAGGCCAAAATATTATTTTACCAACAATGTGGAATTTATTGGCTACATATTACACAGATTATGCACAGCGGGAGCAGCAATAACAATTCAGGAAGGGGAGCTCGGCACCGCCTGCCTGCCACTAGGGGGGTGCTGCACCCTCCTTCCTGCGTCCATGTGCAATCCCCACAAACCTAAAAAAAAAACAATTATTTGGAATTCTTACTGTTGAAAAGTAATAACTAGAAAATGCCTCAAAGCGGATATCCCTTCTCTTGACAGCTGGTACGACAAAATCCATGAAATGTATGTTATGGAAATAATCACTTTCTCAATGAGGCTTCAGCAAAATACATTTGAGGAAATATGGAAAAAGTGGAGAATTTACATATCCCAACAACGATCACAATTATGCAGCGCTGAGGTAATGTTAATTCATATTTTGATATTAATTCATGATGGATATTAGAGGAATGCATAGGCAAACATCTGTAGATATATTTATATTTATATATGTCTCATATTTTTATTTGTCACGTTATATATACACACACATACACAAAAAATATATAAAAACAGTATATGTGTGTGCATAAATGAAATAATAAAAGTGAATATATATAATGGTTTCATTACTTTAATGCTTTAACACGACCGCACTAGCGTTTCGCTGCAATGCTTGCGAGTTGCTACCTAAATCCATGGTTGCTACACGGCTGCCAAAGAGGACACGTAGAGCTACGTCGAAGCTTGCGTAATGTGGAAGTAGGCATGGTTAAATCTAAACTGGCTTGGAAAAACCAAAGACCAACCTGGCACATCTTTTATTCTTAGCCCCAACCTTGAAAATAATTAATATCGGTTTTATTCTGGCAGCATTATTTGTTTACAACAATTGACTTTTTATTTCAACAAATCTATTTAAGAATTCAAGGCCAAAAGTAGCAGTTTATGTTTTTCGATTTATATACTGAAACTCTGAGCCAAAGCAACAGCAAAATACTTTAAAAACATGTTCATATGTAAGGTTATGACAAAAGTATCATTTTATCATTGAAAATGTTTCTCAACCTCAGTTATAGTCTCAGTGAGTGTGAGATGAAATGCCCCATGCAATCGTACCTGTGCAGGCGCAGTCTGTCTGATGTGAACAGCAGATACTCAGAGACATTGCGGCCTGTGATGTCCACCAGGATGTCTCCTGTCACCACCTTCATGAGGGGGGGACGTCCCCCCACCCCACTGGGACAGGAGAACCCTGTCCCCTGCATAGAGCAGGTACAACGCACCGGCTCATGTAGGGACAGGGGGAGTGTGGGGGGGGACGTCACAGGCTCTGAGGAAACAATGAGGCCGTTTATTTTAATCAGTATTCCTTTCTTTACATTTTGACTTGTCATAGCAGGACACACTGGTTGAATTAAACTCATTAAACTTGCATTAGACTGCTGGTTTTACTGTCCAGCCGACAGACCACTGAATCACTTTTCCTCAGAGCTATCAAAAACACAGGACACACTGCATTGGTGCATTGGTACAACAGAGATGGTGATGGTTATTCCGCAGGATCACAAATCCCAATTATAACTACAAACCTAAATCCCACCGTCTACTAGAACATCAACCTAATGTAAGATATCATTTTGAGTTTCCTCTTAGCAAAATGCTCACTTGTAAGCGGTAATGCCGTGTATATGTATAGAGATTTCATTGTAAAAGGTAAATGGAAGGAGTTTGGCTGTAATGCGTTGTCGTTGACAACTTGGGAGCAATAGTGCAGAAGAGGCTCCCTCCTATTACTTTATTACCTTCATAGTACAGTAGGTAAGTAGGCCACAACTCAAGCACTATCCTCCTGTTCTGGTCCTTGGATCAAAGCATCAGTAACAGAAGAATCACGTGATTGGAGTGAAGCCATTATCAATGTTATAAGATAAATCTGTGATCGGCTTGCTATGACAAATGCTCATTTTTATGTAACAATTGCTTTGGTATGAGAAAGGGTCAAAGGGCTTATAGTAAATGAAAAGATAAAAATAAGGGATTTGTTTTCTACTACTTCTCATCACAGTGATCTAATTTTCAATGGCATAAGGATTTTTTTCTTGTAAAGCTATTTATGTTATTGAGTTATGCAGGCCATTTGTATCCTTGCTTATGGTTTTTGTGAATGTATGATGTATCCATTTGCAACCAATGAAGTTAAAGGTGCAATGTTGAAGAGGACATGTTCTGCACACTTTCAGGTTAATATGTGTATTTAGTGTCTCTACTGGGACATCTTTCCATGATCTAATGTTAAAAAAACCCTCTTTATTTTGTCGATAATTGTGAGAGCATCACACACACAATGTTGGAGGGCTATCCAATAGAAGTGAATTATGTTACACTAGTAAACAGATAAGTCCAATGGAGGTATTCCAGGCAGGGGGGGGGGGTGTTTGGGAGAGAAACTCCCTCTGGAGGGACATAGGGATTTTAGTCTTTGCTAAATAGGGCAAAGTGCCCCTTTGATGAGATTCAACAGCACTCACACACTGAGATTTTGGCCACGCCCCCCGAGGATAAAAGTAATCAGTGGAGGCATTATTCAAACACCAGTTGGACTGTTCGCTTACATTAAAATGAGAACTTTGAATGTGAACTAGGATTTTAAATCTGTATGATTGTAATATTTACCCTGAGCAAGGGGGGGATCAGGAGTAGGAGACTTCTTAATGTTGTTTTACCCTTGTGTTTAATGTTTGAATATTTGTTATGCCAGGCTGATATATTCTTATGTAAGATATATTTGGACCTGCTCATATTAAAGTGGTCACAAGCCTTATCAGAAGGACTCACCACGCACTGCGGTCGGATGGGCGGCAGTGTAGTTCCACAGTCCGTCCTCAAAGCCAGGATCTGGGTCATCTGAAGGCGCTGGTGAGGGAGGGGGGGGAACAAAGTTGGAGAAAGGGACCCCCTGTGTAAAGGAGTCAAGACACATGGAGTCAAAGTAGCGTGCAGCCAGGGTCTTGGAGTTGTTGGCGCTGGGGTTGAGGGTCTGGGCCAGCTGGTCCAGGGTGCTGTTGAAGGGGGTTTTGAGGACACAGGTGGCCCCCACGCCCGAGGGCAGACGGAGGGTGTTGATGATCTTCTGTGGGCTGGCGTCCGGTGACAGCCTAATCCTGAGAGGGGAGGCCAATGATGATGAGCTAACATTCTGAACTGGTCATTGACAGTCAAACATTTATATTTTCAAAACTGTTGTTGATGGACAAGCTAACAGCCTAAACGGTCAAATCAGCCCAATAAGTAGAATATTAAACAAAGATATCAATAAAGAAATGTGTGTGAATAGATTAAAAAGACAAGAAAACAGACATATAAATACCTTTATAATTATTTTATAGAGTGTTTAGTGTCATGATATTAGCTTCCTGTTTTATTTTGAAATGTATTTTCCTCCTTGTGTCTTGTCTGGTTTTACTTCCTGTGTTTGCCCTCCTGTGTTCACCTTCCCCCCCCTCTCCAGCTGTGTCTTGTCTCTGTGATTAGTGTTGTGTCTTCTCTTATGTTCTTGGGCTGCAGTCGAATTGTCATTTCAGCTAAGGAACCTTCCTCACGGAGTAAAATGACCCGGTACTTGACTTTATTTGCCAGGCACACGGCACTGAATACACATGCAGAGGTGAACACAGAACACACATGCAGAGGTGAACACAAGACAACATTAGCACGACCAGTAATCCTACAAGCTGTCATCACTACCCTCCTGACTGTTCTCCTCACTGTTTTCCTCTCTGTCAGACATGGTAGCTGATGATACATCATGTAGGCCTACTACTTTCTCTTTGGTTGAGTCTGCGATTAGCTGCTTGCATCCACAAGTTAACAGCTGGTTTTGGATCGAAAGTCTCTGTTGTCATCTTAGACAAGTGGATGTAATCAAATAAGTGTATGTGAACATAAC